ATGTGTGTGTGTGTGTGTGTGTGTGTGTGTGTGTGTGTGTGTGTGTGTGTGTGTGTGTAAAGTGGAAAGCTGTAAGAAATCTGTTAATTTTGTCTCTTCCTTAACCTCCAAGTAAAGTTCTTTCCTCTTTCTCCACTTTCTTCATATACTGACTTCTTAAGCTATTCAGCACCTGCTGTTTTCTTTCATTTTATCTGTCTCACTAAACAGAAATTCCTGTCTCTATAGTTACTCAAATAAAGTCCAAAATGTTTGCTCAATCTCCAAATACCACTCAATTTAGACATATCATCTTTTAAGTGAGAGGTGTGTGTGTGTGTGTGTGTGTGTGTGTGTGTGTGTGTGTGTGTGTGTGTGTTGTGTGTTGTTGTGTGTGTGTGTGTGTGTGTGTGTGTGTGTGTGTGTGTGTGTTGGAATATTTGTTTAAACAGGCAAAGGTGTGTTGCATTTGTTCATGGTGCATTTGTTAACAACGATGTGCTGCATTTGCCTTAATTAAATAAAATTAACCTGGGCCCAGTGAGGCAGGTTAATCAGCAACTGCTTGACAGGAAGTAGCAAGGAGGAACTTAGCATGGGGTTTCAGCTGGGGCCTTGTGGAAGGGAGTAGCTTCCAGGACCCCAGCAAAGAGAGACTATTAGACAGTTGCTATTCTAATTCTCTGAGCTAAGAAGTCATCACCCTAGCCTTGGAATCTTCAGTTTTATTAGAACTATAGAGAAATAGTTAGAACTACTTTAAAAGTACCAACAGAGCCATTGTCTAAGGAAACAGAATTGTCCCCAGGCCATAGCCTTGGGTGCCTGGACACTAGTGCTTTAAAGCTCAGCCACCCTAAGAAGGTAAAACAACATGTATGTGAGAAAGAGAGATTTGGAAAATGTTTTAATTCTTTGTTATTATAATTGAACCATAAATATAAATTTTGGATTACTGTGATCTACCTAAATACTAAAATTCCATTTTATGTGTTGGCTTTTTATTTCTGTAACAGTTGGAAAGCAAAACCTTGGATATTGCAGGGAGAAAACAGATAAGTGGTACAGTGCCTGTGGATAGTACCATTGGAAATGACACTTTCTTCGTTGTCACCTGGACAGTACAAAAGCCAGAAATCATTCTTCAAGATCCAAAGGGAAAAAAATACACAACATCAGATTTCAAAGATGATAAGCTAAATATTCGCTCTGCTCAACTTCAAATACCAGGCATTGCAGAAGTAAGTGTATTTTTTCCACTGTTTCAGTAATCCATCCCTTGTTAAGAAATAAAGACACGTTAGGTTATTGGTGCTACTACAATGACAGAGAAGTTCTCATTAAAAACTGAGTAGAATATCTAAGCATTCATAACTCTATTACTCATTCTTTTTAAACAACCATTAAAAATCATTATTGAGGTTAGGAATGGAATTCTCTATTACTAATAGGATGCTTGTTTAGTATTCATGAAGCCTGGGTTCCATCAAAGGTACCGCCCCAAAATATTTTTATTTTGTTTACATTTCCAAATCATTTTATATCCCAAGTTGCAGAAAAATTTTATCAAACCTGTTAATTTTTTTCCAGACAGGTACTTGGACTTACAGCCTTTCTAATGAGAATGCCAGATCTCAGTTGCTGACGCTGACAGTGACCACTAGAGCAAGAAGTCCTACCGTGTCCCCAGTAATGGCAACTGCTCACATGAGTCACAACCCAGCACAGTACCCCAGCCCGCTGATGGTTTATGCACGAGTCAGCCAGGGGTTCTTGCCTGTTCTGGGAGCCAGTGTCACAGCTGTTATAGAAGCTGAAGACGGACATAGAGTCACACTGGAGCTCTGGGACAACGGGGCAGGTAATGGGAACCTGCATCGACACCACTGAGTTTAAATTCTACAGGATTCTATAACTCCGGAGTCAATGCTTTTTCAATACACTTAAAACTCTATTTGAGTAATGATGTCTTTAAATTAGTTTGCTTTGTTATCTTGACAAATCAAGCCTAGACATTTATTTTGATTAAAGTCCGTTATCAATTTCAGGTTTCCCATGGAAATTAAAAGTACAGTTTTCCATTTTCACTACTATTAACACTTTACATATGCTTTCTCCATCTAGTTCTATTTTCTTTGTTTTGGTAAGATTCCTTTTTAACAGTGTGCATGCTTTTATAGGCTCCATACAAGCACACTCTGTACTGTAACCATGTTCCCCTCCTGTACCTCCTCTCTCTCCTGCTTCTCCCACCAGGGCCTCATTATCCTGGTCTCACAGCTGCTTTCAGATATATAGAATTATATCTATCTATATAAAATCCAGTATCTACACACTAGAGAAAATGTGGAGGTTTGTTTGTATATGTTTATGCTGGTTAATATGGCAATCGCAACCTGTATCCATCTTCCTGCAGATGGAATAATTTCATTTTTCTCAATGCTATGGATATGGATGGATCATAAAGTCATTATTTTTCAGTTTTTGAGAAACTTTCATACTGATTCCCATAGGGACTCAACTAATTTACTACTCCAAAAGTGTTGTATTAGAGGTTTCTCTGCTATGCATGCATATACACACAGACCCTACATGTTTGTCAGTATCTTTTATCATATTTCTTCTTAATAATAAACATTCTGACTGGGATGAGATGAGAAGGGGAAAAATGGAATCTCAACGTATTTTTAATTTGCATTTTCCTGATGACAAAAGATACTGGAACTCTTCATATGCTCAATGACCATTCTCAATGGATGTTGGTACTTCATCTTTGGAAACCCTGTGTTCACTTCACCAGCCCATTTATTGAGTTGTTTATTTTGGTAATTTTTTAAATTATTTATACATTCTAGATATCTATCCTATCAGATTATAACTGCCAAAGATTTTCTCCCATGTAGTAGGCCACATTTGCTTGTCTACTATACAGAATTCTTTTAATTTCATGTTCCAGTTGTCAGGTCTTGGTTTTACTACTAAGTAAATAGCGTCTTTCACAGAAAGTCCTTTTGTCTATGTTTACATCCTGAAATGTTCTGCGCCAACAGATTGAGAGTTCCAGATTGTACACTAAGGTGTGTGATCTTTTCAGAACTGATTTCATACAAGACGAAAACTAGTGTTCCCATTTCATCCTTCTACATCTATCTGTCCAGTGTCCGCAGCACTCTTTGTTGAAGAGGCTATCTTTCTTTAATGTGTATGTTTGGCATCTTTGTCCAAAATCGCAGGGTTTCAGTGTGTGGGTTTAATGCTACACCCTCTATTCTATTCCACTGGTCTGCACGTATCTCTTAGGTCAGTTCAATGCTGCTTCATTACTGTGCGTCTGTAGTATGACTTCAAGGCATGGTGCTATCACCAGCATTGTTCCTTTTATTTTGGATTGATTTAGCTATTCTGGGTCTTCTGTGTTTCCATGTGGATTTTATAATTATTTTCTCTATTTCTGTAAAGAATGTCATTGGACTCTTTATCTGAATTGCATCAATCTGTAGATTGCTTTTACCTATGCAGCCATTTTCATGGTATTAACTCTGCTGATGTGTAAGCATGGAAGATGTTCCCACATTGTAGTGTCTGTTTTCAATTCCCTCCAGTGTTTTATTCCTGAGTATTTTTAAAGGTATTAGAAATAGTATTGTTGTCTCAATGTCTTCCTCAGCCTGCTCAGTATTGGTATATGGGAGAGCTACTGACTTTTCAATCAGTAATAATTGCACCTTGGATCAGCCTCATTGCTCACAATACTGTGGTTACACAAAACTTGGCTATTGATTTTTGACTTTGGTTTTGTATCCCGCTACTTTGCTAAATATCTTGTTTGTCCTAATAGTTTTCTGGACAAGTTTCTATTGTGAAACAAAAGTAAGTGCTAACTTTAACTGAATGCCTACTATAAAGTTTGTTTTCTAAAACAACAGTTAGCACACAGTGAATCTGGATCTGAATCACAACACTATGGTCTAGGGTTTAAACTCCTAAACTCATATCATCAATGCTTGTGAACAGTGTCAATCTTCATTTTAACTTACCATGACTAATTGTTGTGTTGCATTATCCAGGTGCTGACACTGTTAAAAATGATGGCATCTATACAAGATATTTCACAGATTATCATGGAAATGGTAGATACAGCCTAAAAGTACATGTCCAGGCAAGAAAAAACACAGCCAGACTAAGTTTAAGACAACAGAACAAGTCTCTGTATATACCTGGCTATATTGAAGATGGTAAGTTGCATTAAATCAAAATGTATTACCTGCTTCAGTAAATTATATAAAACAAACACTGAAATGATAATATATGTGGAAACCCCAAGTATATAATTATACAATCATCTTTGGGATTCAAAATCATGTTCATGTGGTGGACCCAGGATAAACCATGTTTCCACATATTTTGTTAGCATTTCCCTCAGTTTGCTTCATTCACAAAATACATTTCATTTCCTGAGCTCATGGAACAAGCCGTGTGCTAAACGCTAGAGCTCGAGAGTGGAATGAATCCCCTTCATCAGAGAACTCATGCAAAAGTAATAGGTTAAGACAGGTTAAACATTAGTTTTAACATAGCATATGTCAAAGTTATATGTAAAGAAGCTTTTCTCTCCTTTTTTCAATGTGTATCGTCAACCTACATGAGCCCTGAAGAGCTGTAAGATCAGCATGAGATAAAAAAACAGACAATATGAGAGATCCAAATGTCTGGGGGTGTTTTTCATAGGCAAAATTATAATGAATCCACCCAGACCCGAAATCCAAGATGCAGAAGCTCCAGTGGAAGACTTCAGCAGACTAACCTCTGGAGAGTCCTTTACCGTGTCTGGAGCGCCTCCTGCTGGTGACCATGCTCATGTGTTTCCACCCAGTAAAGTCACAGATCTGGAGGCTGAGTTTAAAGGAGATCACATTCACCTGACATGGACAGCCCCTGGCAAGGTCCTCGACAAAGGAAGAGGTAAGCTTGACAATGAATTTTAAATATTCACAATGGGTCATATGTAATAAATTAAATTATAGACACTATTACATTTTTTAATAGATACTACAAAATTTGTTGCCTGGAAATGATTCCAGTTCTTTGTTCAGCTGGGCCTGTAAGGGAACAAACATACTTATACAACAGAAAAGTGTGATATGTGCAAATGTTTATCTAAAAATAAAAATAATGTATTCAGTAATTATTCTGAGTGAAATGGCATTGCCATTCTTTCCAAAGTTTTCCAATGTTTCACTCATACATAATATTTAAGGAGTCTCTACTATAGGCCAGTATTCATTTATTTTTTAATGTAAAAACTGAACTTCAAGAAAGCTGGAATTAGCCAGAGTTGTTCCTAATTTTTATCTTCAAGTTGTAAAATCGGTCAAGATTATGTCACCCCCTCCCCCATCACCGACAGCATCCTCAGGAATGAAGAGCATGGTTGTTTGCTCACAGGACTCAGGTCCCACTCCAGCACCCACAGGCAGGTCCCACCCACCCGCTGCTCCTCCACAGCAGATAGCGCATGGGGTACAGACATACATGCAGGCACAACACACATGCACATAATGGAATAGTAAAAATAACTGTGAAACACAATAGTGGAGAGGAGTAGATCACGGTGCCGCTCAAGGTGGGACTAGGTCCCGAGCACGTGTGCAATCAGTGCTCATCCGGGTTCTGTGCCCTTGGACTCACCCTCAGCTGTTCTCCTCTGGCTGTCACTGAGGGCCCCACCCACCCCATTTCTTCTTTCATCTTAATAAAAAGTCACAGAAGATACTCTTGGTCTTCACTGAACATGAACATTGTGTGTTCCTTGTGCTAATTTAAAACTGAGTTCATGTCTGTCTATGTCTTTCTACAAAGAAACCCGGATTCTGGTAAAGGCTGGTATTATGATACTGAATTAGCTTTTCTGTGATTTTGTGACTTCACATTATTTTAAAACAAATGTTCATATACTGTCTTTAAAGTCAGTGAGACAGGATAACCAGACACAAACTGTACCGGGCTCTCCATCACTGAAGCTCCTCATGATGCTCTGGTAACCCCTACGCAGGCGCAGTGTGTGCAGAGACCCGTCCTCACTCTAATGAACACGTGTCTGTCTCTTTTCCAGCACATAGATACGTCATCAGAATGAGTCGGCATTCTCAAGATCTCCAAGAAGATTTTCACAATGCTACTTTAGTGAATACTTCTAGTCTCGTACCTAAAGAGGCTGGGTCAAAAGAAAAATTTGAATTCAAACCAGGATCTTTGAAAATAGGAAATAGCTCCATGTTCTACATTGCAATCCAGGCCGTCAATGAAGTCAGTATCACTTCAGAGATCTCCAACATCGCACAGGCTGTCAAGTTTATTGCTCCAGAACAAGGTATCTCTGCACTGGGCCCTAATATTGTGATTTTTAACTATATTTACACTAGAAAATATACTAGAACTAAAATCCAATCTTATATATACTTGCTAAGAGTTTCTTTAGAGTGAGTTTACTAAACCCACTGTCTGCTAGTCAACAATTGTAATATAAAAATTCATAATCGAAGTTGAAAAATGCCTTGAATTTACTATCACCAATTCTTTTGCAATACATAAATCAAGATTAACATGTCCTCAAGTATTTGTTGTTCCATTTATTATGGAAATAAGATATCCATTCTATTTTCATAGTGATTCAAATTCACTTTGTATATTATAAAAATGAAAATTCACACAAGCCATTTTAAAGGATTTGCGCATAGATAATAGCAACTAATTCTATAGTTGAATTATTTGTAACATAACTGATGAAGAATATTTCCTGTTTACACAACTGTAATCAAAAGGGACTATGGAAGTAATTTGTAAAGAAAAATGGTCAAAAGTGGGGAGAAAGTCAAATGTCTTTTTTCATTGACTGCAGGTGTTTTATCAGTCGTAGGCTTGAAATGATTAGCAAAAGTGCTTTTGTCCATGAATTGTGGGCATCACAAGCAAGTTCTGTTTCTGTCCTGGGACCATCACTTGATCTTAAGAATATTACCAAGATGTATAATTAGAACAGGGATATTTTTTCACTGGTGTAACCTTTTCATCTAGGGCAGAATTGGATGTTCGATAAATATTTGTCAAATAAGTTAATTCTTTTATAATCTCAAAGAAAAATATAGCCCAGTCACATCAACAATACCTATATAATATCATGTGTTCATGATTATGTGAGAAGTTAAATAAAAATGATCTATTTTAGAGCAGCCGAGTGAGCAGCACAGAAGCCGGGAGAGAGAGAGACCCTCAATGGCAGAGCAAACAGCACAGAAGCCAGGAGAGAGACCTTCAGTGGCCGAGCCAGCTTCACAGAAGCCAGGAGAGAGACCCTCTGTGGCCGAATTTTGGTCCTGGAAGCCAGGAGAGATACCCTCAGTGGCTGAGCTATGGTCCAGAAAGCCAGGAGAGATACCCTCAGTGGCTGAGCTATGGTCCAGGAAGCTAGCAGAGATATTCTCAGTGGCCCAGCCAGGATCCAGGGAACCAGGAGAAAGACCCACAATGGCTGAGCTAGAGTCCAGGAAGCCAGGAGAGATACCCTCAGTGGCCGAGCTATGGTCCAGGAAGCCAGGAGAGATACCCTCAGTGGCCGAGCTATGGTCCAGGAAGCCAGGAGAGATACCCTCAATTGCTGAGCTGTGGTCCAGGAAGCCAGGAGAGATACCCTCAGTGGCCGAGCTATGGTCCAGGAAGCCAGGAGAGATACCCTCAATTGCTGAGCTGTGGTCCAGGAAGCTAGCAGAGATATCCTCAATGGCTGACCTATGGTCCAAGAAGCCAGAAAAGAGACCCTCAATGGCCGAGCTAGAGTCCAGGAAGCCAAGAGAGAGACTCTCAGCAGCCGAGGGAGCAGCCCAGAAGCCTGGAAAGAGACAAAGAGGTTATCATCAGGCAAGCAAGTCGCCCAGAAGCTGGTGGAGAAAGAGTGGTCTTAAGCTGCGAAGGTTCCGTGGCTGAGAGAGTAGCCCATAAGCATCTACAGCAAGGGCTTCCAGAAACTATCTTAACAAGTGCCTTTGGGACAAGATCACCTTAGAAAACTGGGAGGATGAGGGAGGGGAAGGGAGGGAGAAGATGGAAGGGGATGGGGGAGGATGACAGGAAGGATCAGGAAGGTTGAGTTGGGGGAAGGACAGAGAGGAAGAGCAATGAAAATAATACCTTGATAGAGGGAGCCATTATAGGGTTAACAAGAAACCTGGAACTAGGGAAATTCCAGGAATCCACAAGGATGACCCCTGCTTAGAATCTGAGCAATAGTGGAGAGGCTGCCTTAACTGCACTTTCCCTATAATGAGATTGATGCCTTAAATGCCATCCTAGAGCCTTCATCCAGTAGCTGATGGATGCAGAAGTGGAGATTCACAGCTGAGCACTGAGCCAAACTCCTGGAATCCAGTTGTAGAGAGGGAAGAGTGATGAGCAAAGGGGTCAAGACCATGCTGGGGAAACCCACAGGCTCCCTGACTCCAGATTGACAGCGGGGGAGCCTGCATAAGACCAAAGTAGGCCAACTGAATGTGGATGACAGCTGGGTGGCTTGGGTAGTTTGTGGAGTCATTAGCGGTGGAACCTGTATTTATCCCTAGTGCATGAACTGGCTTTTTGGAGCCCATTCCCTATGGAGAGATACCCCAAGTGATGTGACAGGCTGTTGATTCCCCATGGAAGGCCTCACCCTCTCTGAGGAGTGGATGGGGGATGGGGGATGGGGGATGGAGAAGGTGGGGGAAGTGGGAGGACCAGGGGGAGAGGGAACTGGGAATGGTATGTAAAATAAGATTGTTTTAAAAATAAAAATAATAATAATACAAAGAAAGCAGTGCTAACAGGAAAGTTCATAGGACCAAATGCCTATATAAAGAAGCTAGAGAAATACAACTCTAATGAATTAACAGAACAACTGAAAGCACTAGGACAAAAAGAAGTAACCTCACCCAGGAGGAGTAGATGGCTGGAAATAATCAAATTGAGGGCTGAAATCAATAAAATAGAAGCAAAGAAAATAACACAAAGAATCAATGAGAAAAAGAGTTGGTTCTTTGAGAAAATCAGTAAGATAAACTAATTTATCCAAATTAAGCAAAAGACAGAGAGAGACTATCCAAATTAACAAAGTCAGAAATTAAAAGGGGGACATAACAACAGACACTGAGGAAATGTAGAGAATCATCAGGTCATATTTCAAAAACCTGTACTCCACAAAACTGGAAAATTTAAAAGAAATGAACAATTTTCTGTATAAGTATCACATACCAAAATTAAATCAGGACCAAATAAACAAATTAAATAGGCCTATAACCCCTAAGGAAATAGAAATAGTCATCAAAAGTCTCCCCCGCCCAAAAAAAAAAGCATAGGGCCAGATGGTTTCAGTGCAGAATTCTATCAGAATTTCAAAGAAGAGCTAATACCAATACTTCCCAAATTGTACCACACAATTCTTGAAAGTCTTTTTTAAAATACTTATTTTCGTCTGTGGGTGTGTGGGTGCACGTGTGTGTGTGTGTGTGTGTGTGTGTGTGTGTGTGTGTGTGTGTGTGTTATTGCCAAACTCTTTTCCTAGATCAGAATTTCAAAGAAGAGCTAATACCAATACTTCCCAAATTGTACCACACAATAGAAACAGAAGGAACATTGCCAAACTCTTTTCCTAGACCACAGTTACCCTGATACACAAACCACACAAAGACACAACTAAGAAAGAGAATTACAGACCAATCTCCCTTATGAAATAATGAGGACCTCTGAGTTCCAGCCTCAAGGTTCTCTCAGGGTTCAGGCCAGGAGCTAAACAGCAAGGTGGCAGAGCTGACTACAAGGACCTGAGGGTGAAGGAAACCAGCTCACACACATATTTCTCTCATGGCTCCTTATCCTTCAAAAAAATTTATTCCCCTATCTTAGAAGGCTTCCAGTTTATATACCCAATACAGACACAATTAGCAATTCACTGGCAATAGCAAGGATAGCAGGCATGCATATCTCTCAGTGCCTGGAAGGCAGACAAAAGAGGGCACCTCATGTCTCAGAGGGGATGTGACTTGTAAAACATCTGGGCATAGCTTAAGAGTCAGGAAGGGGCTATGATTTCTAAAACTGGAGAAGGGGAGTTGGGATGTAAACTACATTTGTGTGGTTAGTTAAACTAGAAGTTTGTAGCTGATAAATGTAGGGAAAGAGGAGGGGAAGAGACGCTGTAGCTCTGTGCTTTCTACACAGTCTCTTGCTTTCAAGGCAGCTGCATTCGGGTAACCATGATAACCTACATACACTGCAGAAGGAAAATGGGTGGCATTTGATTCTCCTTAGAATTTTTGCCACATGTTAGCTAACTAAAGGGGACTTATCAGCACTAAATCAAAGGGAAAACGTCAGGCTAGGTAGTGTGTTCCGGCACTTCCTGTTTCTCCTTGCTCAAATATGAGTCTCCTTGCTATGTCACTTCTGGCCTGGATCACCAATTCTCTACTACATTTCCCAGAATCCTCTTTGACTCCTAGTCTTGTCTAACTTGCTGTTTCATTGGCCAAACAGAACTTTATTAAACAATCAATAAGATAAACATACACAGAAGTACTTCCCCCATCATCTCCTCTTTTCTGTCTAAATAAAAAGAAGGGTAACTTATCTTTTATAGTAACTGAAGAAAACTATAACCATAACTATCTGTCTTCAACTCTATCAAAGACCACAGAAGGATAATATATAAACTCTAGAATTGACAGGACATCTTGCTACCTGGACAGTCACCCAAAGTTCCTCTGTAACGTTGGGGCATCCATCTTCAGTCTATAGTCCACAGTGTGTCTAGTACACATCTCCATTTTAACAGGAACCCTTCAGTAGTGTGAGATGGGAGCCTGCTGCTTCCAGCCTCAGGGTAAGCAGTGGAGCACTCTTACTGCTGAGGATCTGGTGAGAAGGAATTCCTTTCTATGGGAGAATACAAGGCACCCAGTATATATTCTATACATCAAGATTATACAGCCAAATGAAGTAATCCTCCTGACTTCCCACAGATATATATACTCAGCAGATGGAATATTTTCATGAGATAAGCACATACAAACTGTGGAAACACCCAAAGCTATTCTTAGGGAAGAGATGAAGCGACTCCATGGTCTTGCCAGGTAAAGCTCCCTTATCACTCATGTGGAAGGTCAGCCTGTTAAATATTAGCTATCCTGCTGCATTTCTCATGGCCCTTGACAATGAACATTGGTGCAAAAATACTCAATAAAATACTGGCAAACTGAATCCAAGAACACAGATAAATCATCCAAGTAGGCTTCATCTCAGAGATGCAGGGAAGGTTCAACATAAGAAAATCCATCAATGTAATCAACCATAATTCACAAACTGAAAAAAAACACATGATCATCTCATTAGACATTGAAAAAGCCTTCAACAAAAACCAACACCCCTTCATGATAAAGGTCTTGACACAGGTACATACTTAAACATAATAAAGGCAAAATATAACAAGCCAACAGCCAACATCAAACTAAATGGAGAGAAACTCAAAGTGATTTCACTAAAA